CCCCGGTTGGGAAACCCCTTTAAATTTCCTGCCCCGCTGTAGGAACCTGTATGCCTTGTTTTCGTTTCAAAAGGCGCCGGTCATCTTCCTGTGCGTGCCGGGGCTGGTTCTGATGTGCCTCATCAAGCACCTCAAGTACCTCGCACCCTTTTCGCTTATCGCCGAGGTGAGAGAAGGAAAGAGAGCATTCTTTTTTTCTTCTGTGCACGGTGCGTGCGTAGATGCGTGCACATCCATCCCCCAACCCAAACGTCGCTAGCATCTTGTAATGCTTTCGGCGGAATCAATGCCCGACTCGTGTGATGCTTCCCCTATTACCGTTGCGCGTCTGCGAAGACTGACGTTCCATGAAGTCTGACATTCCGTGAAGTCTGACATTCCGCCAAGTCTGATATTGAGTGAATGCTGACGTTCCATGAAGTCTGACATTCCGTGAAGTCTGACTTTCCGCGAAGTCTGGCGTTCCATGATGTTTGACATTCCGTGAAGTCTGGCGTTCCATGATGTTTGACATTCCGTGAAGGCTGATATGTCGTGAATTCAGACCTTCAATGAAAGCTGACATTCCGTGCTGACATTCCGCGAAGTCTGACATTCCGTGAAGTCTGACGGGGCCTCACATTTCTATCCCAACGTCCGTGTCTGACACGGACCGAAACGAGCATGTTCTACCCACCGCTTGGTGGTAGCTCTGTGCACTACTGTACCAGTACCAAGTCAGACCACTCGTGTGTTCGATTAGACCACCCGCGACATGATGACCCGCTCCCGCTGCCACGGCACACCGTACCATAACCGTGACCTAGGTTGTGAACCTGACCGGTCTTGCCGTGGTGTTCTTCGACGACGCGGAGTTCATGGACATCAACCACGAGAGCATCTCGATGGCCCATTGGAAAGGTATTCATTATGTTTTTACAGCTAAGTTTCTTTGTTCGGAGACGGAATGACCCGACGTTTGTTGTAACGGAAAGAGTTGTAGCGCATCACTGTTGGAAAACCGGGGCTACGTACACGTAGGCCACATTTCGCGTTCCCCCCTAATCTCTGGACACCAGCGGAGAGAGCACACACGCGCCGTAGTCGTCGGTTGTTGTGCTTGTGAGCGCGAGAGAGGACCACGGAATACATTAGCACACCGAAGGATTGAGGGATGGGCCAACATAGATAAGTGGCCACAGGAAGTAACATGAACCACGAGAGCATCTCGATGGCCCGCTGGAAAGGTACGCCTTTTTTTCTTATTCGTCACTTCTTATCAGCGCCCACAGCAATTCTGCCGCGTAGGAAGATGCTCCGAACCGCGGTCAAACAGAAGGGGCATGGACTCGACAAAGTCATGGGCTCGTACGTAGTCGGAGCAGCAGCAGACTATCAGCAAGAGAGACCATGTATTTTTACTACGATGTGAGCGATGATTGTCAAATGTACTGGTCACTTTAATCCGGTTGTCGCGGCTCCTTTAGAACGCCACACGGGCCAGGTCTATAGGGGGCGCGGGGGGACGAAGCCTGCGATGCCACTGTCGCACACAAGCAGCGCGCTCTCCTCGCGACTCCTACACTAGTATCATGAACCGCTGTCAGTCCTGATGCCGTTGGAGAGGGTCTCAGCGGCGGAAGCTTCTTGAAGTAGTATTTTCGGGTGGAGGTGGAGAGAGCTGCTGCCTTCAAGCGGGGCATTCAAGCGGGTGTGCTCGTGAGACGACGAAAGGAACAGGGTTTTCCATGCCATGAATCTTGCGTGGCATTCCCTTGTCGGGCCGCACGTCTGCGCTGCGTCCGCCATCACGCCGCCCTGATACTCTGCCGTTTGTCGATGTTGCTAAATATTGTGTACATCGTGGCGAGAGTTTCTGGCACAATCGAGCCACGTGGCATCTAGCGATACCCCGCCCTGCTTGCACTGCGCCCCGCGTCGCCCCCGGACACCGGTCACGTACGGCCGTAAGACCGATATCTCCTCCTTCCTTGCAGTACAGTAAAGCCATTTCAAGGGAGATGTTGCATGTGAGTATTGACCCCCCCCCCCCCCCCCCCCCCCCCCCCCCCCCCCCCCCCCCCCCCCCCCCCCCCCNCCCCCCCCCCCCCTTTCGTCGCCTGCGCCGCCCCCACTACGCATCTACCACCCGTTATTGTTTGTGCATGCAGCACTACCGTTCGTGTTCGGAGTGGGCGTGTACTGCTTCGAGGGGTGAGTGATGATGACGCCACTGGCTGCTCCACTCACCGCGGATAGCTGTTTTTGTTGCCGATATTGTTTGTCACATCGGCGCTCGGTGTTTGGGACCTCGCGACCGAACCGGATGACTGGGCAACGACCGACCTTGGTTGTTTGTTTTCGTACGTTTTTCGTTGCGCATGCGTTTTGATTTTTTCGACTTTTTACATTTGCCTCAACGCGCCTTTTTCTTTCTTGTCTCCATTCCTTCGGGCCATAGATCATATCCTATCGTAGTGCACACATTTTTTCGGTTTTGCCATGAATTTTCTAATCCGTAAAACAAAAACTGTTTTTTGTCGTCGCGTGTGTAGGATCGGCATGGCGATTCCCATCGAGGACGCTATGGTTAACCGGGAGCGCTTCACGCCCATCCTGTCGTGGGTGATGGTGATCTACACCCTCCTCTGCGTGCTTTCGGGAGGGCTGGGGTACATGGCCTTCGGAGACGAGACGGAGGTACGCGGCCAGGGCGATCAATGACCTCTTCCGAAAATTGCGGCTGTTGCGTGGGCTGGTGGGTGTCTCGATTCCGCCGCGCCCAAATGGCACGGGTTCTTGTGCGGCCTGGACAACAAAATATCCTGCGGTTCTAAATTCCGACAGTTGAGGGTGTTGCGGGTACTACGGGTGGGTGCCTCGATTCCGCGGCGCCCGTGGGCGCATGTTCTTCCTGCTGCTGCGTGCTTGCAACACGGTAGAACACTACGAGCCCCTGACACGCACACTTGTCTTGTACGAGGAACAGGAGCCGCGCTTGGTTTCGAAAGGCGTGCAAACCCTGTTGTTAAATGAACACGCGTAAGCAGCCAACATGCGTCCGTCCTCCCGCCGCCTGCAGGATATTATTCTTCTTAACATCGGCTCCACGGCGTCGACGCTGGTGGTGAAGCTGAGCTTTTGCGTCGGCCTGTACTTCACCTTCCCCCTCATGTGAGCGGACGCGAGAGAGGGAGGGGGGGGGGGGGGGGGGGGGGTGACANAGTCGTTAGACCATTGACCTCGCATCCCTACAAAGCCGGGACGGAGCACGCCGGGTTCTCACCGGACCAGGCTCAGAGAGGGAGGGAGAGAGAAAGAGAGAGAGAGAGAAAAAAAAAAGCGAGAGGCGGGCAAAGGAGTACTCAGACACTAACAAGCACCGGGAACCGACCGCCGCCTTTGTTCGTCGATCCTCTTTCGACTGCGGTTGGGCTGTACCCTCTAGAGGGCTGTACCCCCTAGAGGGTTCCAAGCGGCTGAAGAGTTGCCCTACCTACCCCTCACGTGATGTCAGACTCACTCGCGCTGCTTGCTCTGTACGAGGTGCACGCATGCACCCCCCGTCCTTCCATGGCCCTGTCGTTGTTCCGTAGGTACCTACCTCGCTTGCCGTGTTTCCCCCCGAGCATGTGTGTCTGAGTGTCTCAGTTCTGATTTATTGAGCAGCCGCTCGTCGTAGCCATACGGTTTTATTTTTTCACGGAGGAATGGGCGCCTTCTTTTGTATTTGTTCGTCACCTCTTGTAATCCCCTAGGATGGTTCCCGTGTGGGAGGTGTTGGAGTGCAAGTGGCTGAGGCAGCACCACTCGCCGTCGTACGGGAGAGACAGGAACGTTCTTCGGGCGGCGGTGGTGTTCGCGACGGGGCTGGTCGCGTGCGTGGTCCCCAACTTCGGCCTATTCGTGTCGCTTGTCGGAAGCACGTACGTGGCATCAACACAAATATGTTGTTGGAAGCAAACTGATTTTTTTTTTTTTTTCCTCTGTACTGCTGTATGTACTGCTGTATTTAGTGATCTGCGATTTTGCACTGTAATACTCCCTTGATTTATCTAAATGCCGTGTTTAGCGATGCTGTATTTAGCGATTTGTGATTTTGCACCGAAGTACTCCTCTTGATTTATTTATGAGCATGTGTTTTGTAAAATGTCTTTTTAGATTTTGGCGCGTAAATTGTGCCTTCCGCACTTGGTCGTTGTTTGTTTTGAGCCTGGTGTCGCGCGTGCATGCTGCCGTTTGACCCCAGGACCATGCCGAATGGTCCACGGTAGGGCCTCCGCACCACGTCCCGTAGCGTCTCTCCCCCACACTCCGGTACCGCACTGAGCCCTCCTTCCTCTACAATACCCCCCTTCGGAACCCTGTGTCCTTTTGTGTTCTTGTTCCGCAGCTGCTGCGCGCTTTTGGCCTTCATCCTTCCGACCCTTTGCTACGCGAAGCTGGAGAAGGACGCCGGCTTTCCGCTAAGCCCCGGGAGAAAATTGTTGCACAACTTCATCCTCGCCGCGGGTCTGTTCGCCATGATTTCTGGCACGTTGGATACCTTGCACCGGATAGCTCTAGAGTACACTAAGGGCGATGAAAGCACGTAGATCGCGCGGGGGGCTGGTACGCTGGTGAAAACCCATCATTCCGGACACTTCGGACTCAATGGATAGGCCTAGAGACTGTCAAGGGCGATGAAAGGACCAAGACTGGGGAGGGGGTCAGTACACTGCTGAGAAATGGCGTTGTAGAGGGGGGGGGNGGGGGGGGGGGGGGGGGGGGGGGGGGGGGGGGGGGGGGGGGGGGGGGGGGAGGTGGACGACTTCTTTGCCCCGGAGTCTTGTAATTTGTGCAACAATTATTGTAGTTGCTAGTGGTAAACCTTATTTGCTGTGTGGGGAACCTCTCTCTTTATGAAGACCGTGTTTTGCGTGCATTACTCAAGATTTTCCGCTTTTGGCTGATTCCGGCCGCCGCTCGTGTGTTGTCCCTGATGAAGGAAGGTTATTGATTATTGTGTGTGTCCGACGCGTAGTACAGAAGTTCAGGATCTGGACACCGGTGTGCCTGGTATATGTTGGGGAGCTCATCCACACCCTCTGGGCCAGAGGGAAGGGCACATACTTCGACCATGTTCCGTTTGGTCAGGATGCGCAGGCTCGTTCAGCTAGGAAACGGGGCGAAAGACACGTTCTGAAGGAAATTTTTGACGGTTCTGTGTCCATATCCGTTCTGATATGTCGCCTCGGTTCGGTTTTGTGGCGCGTTGGCCTGAAGCCATCAAGTGGCGAAGAGAGTCCTCGTCGTCGATACGGTGCTTCTCGAGATTTGTCCCTCGAAAAAGACGGCTTACATGCATCCAAGGACGGCCAAAAACCCACGCTGCTGTTGCTGTTGCTGCTGCTGCTGCTGCTGTTTTCAAATCGAGTGCAGTCGTGTTTCCGACAGGACAAAAACTATCCTGCCCTGGTCGCACATAGCTACATAGCTGTGACCTTCGAGGGAGTATAAAACATGGTGTGCCAGGCCGTAGAAAACGTAGGGGCCGCGCGGAAAGCCCGAGATCCGACCAACAAAAGCACGACTGGGTTTGAAACCATTCCAACCACTGATGTTTGGACCTCTCGAGGCGATGGTGTTGCTGCCATGTTGCCACCGGCGGTTTCGCTGAAAAACGCCCTTCACCGAGTAGACTAGTTGGCATGGCTGTGTTCACGGTTATTGGCTGTTGATTCCAGGCGGTTGGTTGTTGAGTTGTTCGGATAGGCTGGAATGCGACGAGCGGGTTACCTAGCCAAGTTTGTCCACTTGGAAAAAGCACAAAACACTGACACCACAGCGATTGGAGTGCTCTTTGTCAGCAGACTTCGCGCAAGGCAGCATGGACGGGAGTTCACCACATTATAATTCCATCACCATATAATGCGCCCGTGGGTGTATGCGAGCTAGGGTGTGCGGATATTGGGCCGACGACTACCATCTCGTAATCTGACAATGCGCGGCATAGACAGACAGACAGATGCTGTTTGACCTTGTGTATGTGGTGTGCTCGTTCGGAGAAATTCCCGTCCCTCGTAAAGGTATTTGTGTGCGAGGAGAGGAGCTGCGCGATGAGTCGCGTGCCTTCGTAGTTTTTTTCTCAAGAAGACGTGCTTAGCATACCCACCTCCCTGACAGAAAGGCTCGAAAAACGCTGGTGTCTGCCGGTGCCACCTCCCCCTCACCCCTGCCGTATGTACTAACTGTACAACGGTTCCTGCGGGTAATTCGTGCTGTTCTTTCTCGACGCTGTTGACGCCGGCAACAGCAGTTGGAGGGGCGTCGCGAGGGAATAAGCAGCGCAGAAGGGGTACCATTGCCACCCTTGGATGGCCTGCCTGCTTTTCTTGCTTCGGCTAGGAGGATCGCATGGCAAGGTCGTGTCTATGATGGCGTACCACGTGTTTGTTCGTTTTGGACAAGGGATCAGGCTTAACCGGCGGTAGCACTGAAATCAATCGGGAGGTGGCCCACGGGCGACGATCAAGGGCGGCGGGATCGTGGAACGCGGGGTAATCGTGTTGGTCCAGGGTCGGGTATGATCTCATTCATGCGTTCAAAATTAGGCCCGTGCCACTGCTGTCTCACCGCTCCTGAGATTGCTTTGAATTGTGGGGCGTAGATGTTACATGTAGTGGATCTATCTGTTCCTTCCTGTTCAGCTGAGTACCTCTTGCAAAGATCGTGTTTCTTGGAGCGCGGTGGAGTCTGCACATCTGCACATCTCATTGGGATAGCTTGAAGTTTAGTCGGTTGTTGGCGGGGAAGTCAGGGGTTAGGGTTATCGCACGCACACGTTGCACACCAAATGCATGCAGCGCATCCCACGTGTCCGCCACCACACGCTCAAACGATCGTGGCACGATGCGGCGAATCAAGTGACGGTTCGGCGAATCAAGTGACGGTTCGCGTCGCAGAACTTTCTGCTATTCCAGGGTCCAGCCGCGTTCGGCGGGTGCTTACTAGCTAGTGTTTACCTGTTGACGCGCTCGCCCTGGGGTGTTGCGACACAACAACAACTCCTGGGGTGTTGCACTCGCCACCCCTGGTAAATGCTGGGTTGTCTAATTTCTTCCGAGTGCCAACACGAAGGTGGAGAAACGCTTGAGACACACGGAACACGGCAGGAGCAGGTGTTCAAATTGGTGGCTAAAGCTCCACACGCTTGGCTCCAGCAAGAGCCTATGCCGTGATGATACCAGACGAAGCAATAAAGCGACTTCGTTCCCTTGAATACCTGGTAAGCATTGATTGAAGTATGGTCAGCTGTTCTTTGCGCACTCGGCCTCTAGAAGTTGATTGTTGCTGCTGCTGAAGCTGCTGTTGGTGTTGTTCAAATGGATCGTGCGGTTCTGTCGCCCCCCCGCTCGCCACCGTCGGCGGGGTTATTGCCATGGGTGCGGCAAAGCAGGGTGCAGTCTAGGGGAGAGTGGAGAAACTGCGAGAGGATTGGTATACGGGCCAAGCTAAGTACACTGAATTTGAGACGCTTCTCTTACTGGCGGAAGGGATCGGCTCCACACTGCGGAGGGAAAAGTCCACGCCATTCCCTTGGGCGTTGCATGTGGTACTTGTAGCTAACTCCCAAAGTGCACTAAACCGGCGTCTTTATTTCGTGTTCACAAAGGTTGCCAGTCACTACTACGCCTGTCATTTGAAGCTCGTCGTCTAAACTACACTCGCGAACAACCACTGAATCCCGACACATCAAGATTGATTGGTAGTTGAGTGTTTCATGGGAGTGGCTGACGCAGACGACAGTATATCAATCCCTGCTGGAAGGTACGTGCAGCAGTGTCGACACGGGCTATCAGTCTGAGTGATGGGGGCCTTGGATATGGGACCGATGTTTGTGGGCTTTGTTTGTCAGCATACTCCCCTCCCACACAAAGCAAGGTAGTGGTCCAGATGCGCTGTCGTGTCACGTGTCAAGTTAGAAATGTACAACGGTCAATGGTATGAAGTCGCTCAAGAGTTCAGGTGGGCCGAACAAACACACCTTGCCCTATGTTTTTCATGGTCAATTTTCCTGTATATTCGGAACAGGACGAATCACCCTTCCTACAACGCAAGAGCTTTCGTTCTGCAGTCGGGGGTGCTTGCTCTCGCCGGAGGATAACTGGCTCCAATAACGATGTGAGAGTGTGGGGAGTGCGTGGCGGTCATGAGGTTTGCTTTCGGTGCACCGATGACGAACAAGCACATGCCGTTGAAACACGATTAGAACGCAACTCTTCTTTCCTTTGAGCCAACGCGCGTCTACGAGCTGTGTACGGCGTGCGTTGTGTATTGATCAATGCGTCGACCGTTCAGGTGTTTGTATTTTGGCTCACCGTGATCAAATACTTTGTGACCATCGGGAGGGTGTAGTGCAGTCTGAGGCAATCATCGTGACAACACGAGATTCTCGTAGGAAGATGCTTTGGTTGAGATATAGCGGATACATGGCGGCCGTGCGCAAAGACAAGTCTTAGTTGAAAGCCAGTCCACCATGCCAAACATTTCTGGCAACCGGCCCATATGCCGCTCACTTTTGGGTATATCTGCGGAGAGGTTTTGCGGAAGCCCATCACAACACCTGCTCACATGTACTCTTGGCATGGTGCTCGTAGAAACATGAAGAACCTCCGCAACTACGAGCAGAACATCTCTGCCGGAAGCGATGTTTTCCTTACCCTAGAGGTATACGTCGGGGCGTGATTTCTCCCCCTCCACGACATGCGCATTGAACGTAAGGGAAGTGTATTGATGAGCACATGTACATACCATCTGTCCCCATGTCCCACCCAGCCGTGCAAGGCTTGATTCTGTCGTTTGACTCACGCACAACGCACATCATACACGCCCACTGATCCACCAGCCCGCCAGCAGCAAGAAGCGCCCCGCCGCCAACACCGCCGCCGCCAACACCGCCGGCCCAGAAACGGCAGAAATCGGCCTGGGTCGACGCCCTCGAGAACTCCCGTGGCTGGTAACACCCGCTCCGTCAGCGAACCAAGCTGTTACCACCTCCAACGTTGCCGCTGCCGCCGGTGCTGACGGCCGTAGTGGTGCCGACGCAAGAAGGGGCTCGTCGCGGAGCGGGTCGACAGAGTCGACGGCAGGAAGCGGCTGCGGCGGACGGCAGAAACAGCAGCAACCGCGGGGGAGAGGGAGGCACGCCGAGCTACCGGGGTCCGGAGGATGTTCAGAGCCCGGAGATGCCTCGCTGTCACCGTCAGGCAGGAACTGGGACAAGAGCACCAACGGGCGACTCCAAAAGCGATGGCAGAAAGAAGAACAAGATGACCGCGCTTCAGAGGCATCGGCGGCAACGGCGTCAGACGCCGAGTGGGCACGACGACAGCGGTGCCAAGCGTTGGCTCTGGCGTGCGCCGGTAGCATGGATCTGCCGGTGGGGACATCCTCCTCGGCAGATTCGGGCGGCGGCGGTGGGGCAGGAGGAGGGACAGCCATGGCTCTGCCTGTCGGACTTGGCCCGGGTTCGATCGGAGACGATTCACCCTCCTCCGGGGGCCGAGGGGCTGGCGGTGGCGCGAACGGTCGGGGTGGGTTGCGTCGGGGGCAAGGAATGGTGAGAAGGTTTGCTGCCGTCGCGATAACTCTGGCTGCTGCTTGGAGCGGCGCGAAAAAGTCACAACCATATCGCCGCCTTTCCATGCCGTAGCGTCCTTGGTTCCCATCCGCCGCCTTGTGTGGTTCCAGCGAGGAGGTAAAAGTTGCATTCATTTTTACGAAAATTGCTGCGAAAGGCAACACTCAATATCACCCGCCAGGCGGCCCCGACAGCGTTCTTTCGGTCCACTCGACGACAACGCTTGGTTCTCTTATGCCACGTGTTCCCACCCATGCACCTCTGTTTCAAACAAGGGCAACGGAGAGCTAGAACCTCCGGTTGAAGGCTGGAGAGTCCTTCCGTCCATATCTCGGCCACAGGCGGGCTCTACCAAGGAAGCGCGATTAGCCAGCGTTCGGTCGGCAGCGTGGCTTGCCATTTCGAAGGTTAAACTTTGGTCCTCTCGAGATCCAGAAGTATTTCTGCTTTAACTGCACGGTTGACTAACCGTCCACGATGGACAGACCGTGTTTCTCTTGCCCCGGGGACTAACAACACGTACCGTCATAGAAAATACTGTGGCTGTGTGGTATCAACTACCAAGCTTGTCGATTTTCTGTCGTCTCGAAAGCAAAAATACCAACCAAAAGACACGACTGTGGACATCTCGGTGCAGTTGAGTGTCCAATACCCCGTACTGGGTGCCCCCACGTTTGTCCCCGTTCACCCAGACCCAGTCCCTGTGTACCGCCTCATCGCTCATCCACTTAAGAGCGGGACGCTTTCGACGTCACGAGAGACACATGCATAACTATCTTGTCCTCATCACTCAGGAACAACGTGCATATCCTCTCGGACGCAAATAGTCCCCCAAAAAAGAGGATTTGACTTTCTCCCTTTCCGTTTTGCAGGTTGTGGTGTTTGCCGACAGATTATCAGCCGTTCTTGAATCCAACTCGGCGGTACCGCTGGAGGAGCTACAGGCCGGGTTGCTGGAGCTTCGACCCTTCCGCTTCGGTATCCCGTTCTCCTCCTCCACCTCCTCCTCCTCCTTATCCTCTTCGGCTTCTTCGACGTCGTCATCTTCCTCCGCCCTTTCCGTCTTAGAAGACGGCGACGCTGGCGGTGACGGTGGTCCGGGCAGCGGGAGGGGCGGAACATGGGTTGACGCCACCGGTGACAGCCGTCAACGAGCATCAAAACCAGCGGGCGGCGACCCCGTTGCCAAAAAGGGGGCGGCAAGGCGGGCAGGACGAAGCCAGAAGAAGAGGACGGGGCTCGGCGAGGAAAAGGTTCCCGTCTCAGCTCAGCGCCGTGGGGGTCCTACAACCTCGCCGGCGGCAAGGGCGTCGGCGCGAGCGGGGGCTCCGCCGCCCGCCGGCGGGAGCCGTGTCGATTTCTCTTCCGCGGGCCGCCACCGCCACCCTGTCGGCAGAGAGAAACCCCGATCAAACCCGACCACAGCGAACAAGAACAACGGCTGGGTTCGGAGCAGGTCGTTTTCGAGGGGAGGGGCGCGCCGGGGGCGCTCGGGCACGCAGACGACACCGCACACGGCGGCAGGGTGTTGGGTGCCGCCGCCAACCCGCTGGGGCGGGACCCCAATAAAATCGCCGCTGTTTTTGGGGGGGGGAGAGGGCAGCACCGCCGCTCACATGGGCGGGGGCAAAGAAGGCGACGGGTGCGTTGACACAGGTCATGATCGACGAAGCAGAGGGTTGCCCCTTGATTTTCACAACGGAGGTGAGCTGGAGTGGGTGGGGGGGGAAGAGGGCATGGACGCCGAGGGCCGGGGCTTCGAAATCATTGACGCTGAGTTTTTCAGGACAGTCGACGGTCAGTCGCTGTTTGCTGAAAGCCTGAGCGGAACCGGCGGAAAAACCGAGCGTGTTTGTCACGCGATTCAGTGGGGAGAGGACGGTGACAGAGACGACCAAGGTCACCATCGCCGCCGCGGGTTCTTCTGCCTGCTGGGGGAGGAGGGACACCTTGCTTCGGAGAGGGGCAGCCCCGACGGCAGGCGGCTGGGCGTCGCGGCGCGCCGCAGGAGGGCGAGGATCGACACCAAGAGCAGGGATGGCAAGCGGCGGGCGGAGATGATGTTCGCCAGGGAGACGATAAAGCGGCTTGAAGAAGAGGTGATACTTGTCCCTAGGACTCAGGGCTATAATAGCTCCGTGAGCAATGCCTTTCGACTTGGTCCTCAACTAGCAGTCAGAGATGTCTCAAACTCGAGATCAATGACGGGACGAGGTTCCGGTTCAAAATGGCGGAGAAATGTTCTTGACGTTCTCGAACCGCTTGAGCTATGTTTGTGTGCACCATCAACAGGGAGTTGTGTTTGTTGGCGTGTGACGGAAAACCACCAAATACGTTGCATCTTGTCATTTTTCTTAAGTTGGACGTTTGCGTAGGTTATCAAGTACTCTCAGGTGAATTGAGATGACGTCACCCGGTGCAGGTACGGCGTCTCCTCCTCTTGAACAAGCCAAGGGTACCCGCGCGAGAGCAAGTCGTCAGCCCGTGAATCGCGCATTGCCCGAAACAGCAACACAACCACACCTCCCCCTGGCGCGCACATCCGCTTTGCAATCGGTGGAAGGAGTCAAGCCATTTGAAGCTTCTATTGACACAAGCAGGCGCTCAAGAATCCGACGACCCCCGCCGACAACCCGTGCGGCCGCCTTTCCTTCCACTCGCCGGAGGCTCTCGAGAAAAGCCGACAACACCCGAGGCACACCGTCTTGGCTGTGTGCCGTAAGGTCGCGCGAGTCAGCGCACATGGGTGCAATCTATATTCAATGCGTAATTTCTCCACTACCAGGAGGGTGCGAGCGCCAACTGATACTTCTCAGGAAAACTCTCGACGAATTACTTCCAAAACCGCCCTTTTCGACAGTGGTAACCACCCGGTTGTGGAGAAATTACGCTTAGAAAATCGATCGCACCCCTGTGCTCTAGCTGACCCGCAACCTTACGGTAGGGGTGAAGGTTTCTGCGACAGTGGCTGACGGAGCGTTGAGTGCATCCCACGGTGTACAGCCACACCTATCCGCCACGAAAACAATGCAGACTGAGGGATACAGCGACGAGTCTTCTCCCCCCCTCCCTCCCGTCCATACCCCAGTGTATCTCGCGGAGGACCGACAAGCTGAAAGGGCGAGCCAACTTGGCCAAGAGCCGAGGAGAGGCCTCCGCGGCAGAAGATCGAGAGAGGACGCTCCTAGGGATCGTGGCTCTTGTATGCACGGCGGTTGACATCAAGCAGCTGCTCGAGAGGACCAAGAAGCGCCGGGCGGCGGACAGGTCGGTGCCTCCAAGGACTTGACTACCCGGCATGCAACAACCGTTGGCCAACACACGTGGTCGAATGGTACCGTTCCTCATCGGGATACCGTCTGTGCTTTGTCATGCTTGTCCGGGCCACTGCTGTGATCGAGGAAGCGCTCTTGCCATGATTCTTGGGAGTACTGTCGCGCCTCGCGTTGGTCGGTAGAAACAAAACCCCTTGAGCGGCGGAGAGAAGGCTGAGCAACACATGCCGGCTTTTTTCCCGTCACTGTGCCAATGCTGGCTGTGACGTGGGTGACGAGGTATTACCTGTCCGTGCGTGGTCTTGGTCTTTCCTTCGCTCTCTCTCTATCACTCGCTCTCCTCCAAAACATTTGTTTACCCCTCTACCTCACAATCTCTGCATGCCAGGGATTGCTTGCTGCTTGTCTCATCCGCGCTGCGCGTTCAGCGGGCCTGGCGTGAGTATCGTCGACCGCCACCCGTGGTCGACACCGACGGAGATGCGGTACGCGAATTGCTACATGGGTGCCGCTTGTGCCTGATTTGGATCCATCTCCGCAGCTGTGTTTGCTTAAAAAGAGAGATTTCGTCTTGCAACAACTTAAGCAGACCGTTGCTGTGTACCTCGGCTGATGCTCTATTTGCCAGTCGTTGAAGCAGCTCATTGGAGCATGTCCTCCCTCTGCGCGCGCCTATTTCTCTGGTGGGGCGTCGAGTGCATGCTACATGAGCGATGTTGGAGCCGGTTCCTTCGACGAAAAAGCACTCCCTCCGTCTTGATGCTGTTCGTACTACCCCCTGTCAGCGATGAAACCGACGATTCTTTCCTGGCTCGCCTGCAACCTGTCTAATATTCCATGCAACGCCATGCTGCACGCGTGCGACACCATTGCGCGCCATCGCATGGGACACAACAACAGCGGTTGATGCAGGGATTCATCAGGTCCATTATGCGCATCTCAACCAAGTACATTATTCGCAAGAGGGCGCGGGTGCTGGCGCTGTTGAAGCTGTGGCCCGAAGGAGAGGCGGCGATCAAGCTCGAGCTGCGCACGGGGAAGAGAATAAGGTCAGCAGCCCTCACGCTTCCGCCATGCGAGTCCCTGAGAAATGCATAGCACATCGCACGACGGTCTCCAGTGCTGAACAAAAACCCGCGTTGTATCGTCAACAAGTACGCCCACGAAAGCACATCAAGGCTCCTGATCCTATTTTTGTGCTACACGCCACCTGTTCTACCCCCCGGCATGGCCGCTTGACCCCGCCGACTTCTCCTCTATTTCACAACCCACCATACGACACCGCATCACTGATTGCAACAATAGGGGTGAAGGCAGCTGGAGGGCGACTTGTCTCCGCAGGAGCTCACGGACGGAATCCACGTCAGCCATGGTCCCCCACGGATCGGTGAGCGGCGGCGGCGGCGGCGGCGGCGGAGGTGCCGTTACCGGCTCATATAGCGGCGGCGGCGGCGTCCCCGCAGCTGGGGCGGCGGCGGCGAATATCTTGCCGGCCCCGTGGTTTCCCCGCCTGGTGAAACAGATGGAGATCCGCAAGAACGAGACGGCTCAGAACCTCATGAGAGGCCAAGAAAAGGTTAAGGGCGTCGCAGATGCACCCGCGCCCGTCGGAAGAGCGCCGGGTCGTAGCGGGACACCCCTTGTGTGCTTTCAGAGACTCTTTCTACGACCGTTTTTCCGTCACGTATGTAACCGTTAGTGTCGAAAGTCTCGGCCTCAGAATCGGCGGGGGGGCCCACTGCTGTGCAATACAAAAATGCACCAGTTCTGCACCTATAAACGGTTTCGCCGATGTTTGCCAAATGTCATCGAGTGCGCCGCTTTTGTCGTTCAAACACTTGTCCCCCTTCCAACACCCCGACGCATCCCTTTCTCTGCGTGATTCGCCTTCCAAAAGCTGTTCAGACACCGCCAGACCACCGAGGCGGCCTGGATCTCAAACAACCCGATCGGTCAAGCGTACAAGCACGGCAACCACCAGCAGCACCTGCGTCAGCAGCAACAGCTTCAGCACCACGCAGGCGATTCGGACGAAGGGCGAAGGCTCGCAAGAAGCGACTCCGACAGCACCGGAGGAGGCTCCGTTGCATCTGTCAGGACGAACGCAACGGACTCCACCGCGGGGGCGGCGGCGGCGGCAGCAGCAAGGAAGACTTTCGACGACCCGGCCGACTCCACCGGCAGAAACCCGCACCGGAGCCAACAAGAACAGTCGCGACGGAAGCACTCCCATTCGGCCGAACACAGCGACGACAACGACACCCAGGAGGGGTCACTGTCGAGCAGCGTCGGCAGCCTCGGGGACGCCGGCACGAAGAAGAACAAACGGCGAAGCCGCGGGTCGGGCGGGCACGGAGATGGAGGGCGGGGAGGGCAAAGGACGAGTAGAAACAACGACGCCAAGAACGGGCTGGGTGCCATATTCGACGACGATGATGACGGCGGCGGCGGGGAGGGAAAGACCCGTGCAACCGGCGGCCCTCAGTTCTCCAGGTGTGGCGCGCGCATGCCCATAGCGGGACAATACCTCCAAGCCAACCGTCCCGCCTGCTGGACATTCAATTTCAACCTGAATGTTGACCGGCTCTGAAACTGTCCTTGAGGAGGAACAGCGGTGTAAAAATGCACCACTGAAAATGATGCAGAACGGCGGATAATTCATACCGCAGTGCTCGATACCTTCCCGAGTCCTTCGCGTCCACTGCCGTGCCTCGAACAACCCACAAACAGGACTACACCTGCGGCCTCCTCCTCAGGACAAGGAACGCGCGTGTTCTCGGCCACCGGTAGCATGCACCACCGGCAACCGAGAAACAAGAACACGGTGGCGGCGCGCGACATGACGTCGTTGCAGCTGCTTGGCGGGGGCGGCTGGCTGGCTCGGTTGGCTGAGGTCAGAGTTTGGAAGATTCGTTGGGGAAAATTATTCAGAAAAGTCCTTGTCCGCAAGTCCAGTACAACCTGTGAGCTTCATTTCGTCGTCCGTTGTATACTCGCTCCGAATCTCTCCGATGTAATTATCGTATATCCAGTCGTGCTTGTGCACGTTTTTCTCGTTTCTTCCTCCCGGCAGATGGACAAAGAAATCGACGCGGCCTCCCTCGTGCCGCTACCGGTGAAACTGTCGACAATCGAGTCCTTCATGAGGGCGGAGATCTTGAGGAGAGTGAAGCTGACTAGCCGGGACCAGGCGTCGCGAAGAACGCTCCCAGAACAGGCTACAGTTGCGGTGAGACAATGACGTGCTGATGGGTGTCAACGGTGTGGAATCCTTCAAGGATGTCGATGGCGTGAGGTGTGTATCTTAACCCGTTTTTTTTGCTATTTATGAAAGATTTGAGCCTGTTTCAAATACGAGAGTAGTGTAATATTCTACAATGAACAGTGGGTCAGTATTGTAGCTGACTGGAATGCACTGACTGTACCGATCGTGCCTTGAGCTCCGGCCGTTGAATGTTGGCGCTGCTCTCGGCAGACGGCGAAGGCGCTGTTGCACGGGTCGATAGAGGATTTCTTCAACCAGGCGGAGGCCGCGCTCTGCAGCAAGAACATCGACATGCTTCAGGTACAACAATTAGGTGGTACACACGTGGTTGCCTGCGAACACGGGTTCACAATGCCATGCTTGTCTTGGGGGGCGAAAAAAACATCCCAAACTACCCCCAACAATTATCTCGTCTACTTAGATTATCCCTTGTTTTTCTGCCTGACGGCGGCACACAATCGACTGCCATCCTGCGCTCCGTTGACACTTTCCATTTTTAGGGCGCATCCTCTTATCCGTCTGTGGTACATTTTCGCGAGCGTGAAACCACCCACGAGAAAAGGGAGCATGCTGTACCACATGCGTGACGGAACAACGCGTAGTTTTCACCGTTTGCTTCGTCCCCGTCCGCTGTTCTTGTTCAGCTCTACTCCGGCGAGGCACGGTTGCGGTTTATGGCCGAGGTCGACAAGCGGGTTCGGGGTTACATGGAAAAGGGCAGCCGCCGGTCACCGGCCGCCCTGCATGCTCATGCTAGCGTTAAGTATGAACTGTAGATTCCTCCGTCTTTGACCGTATGAGGGCGGTGTCTTCCACGGCAGTGCAGCATGAGGGCCGTCTGACCATGAAGAGCGACTGACTTCGTTGTCGCTGCAGACTGACTGGTCGTTGAAACTTGTGCTCAACGTCGAGCTTTTCGGGAGATGCATAGCACGCCTTAGGGAACATCTTGGGGAGTACACGAGCGTGGTGCGCCAAAAGCTAGCTCTGGCCTCCGAACCGTCGGTACATGCGTACTACATTGGTGTTGCCGTTCTCAGTGCTGAAGCGTGTAAATTCGAGGTGCGGTAAGGTTGCACAAGACACCACACCCCCCGTGGGCGATTCCAATAACCTTGGCATCTCCACCACGAAGAGGATACCGAAAATCAAATGATGCGTGTCGGAAAGCTCTCGACGAGGGACGGTTCCAACGTCGCCATTATTTCAGTAATACTGCAGTCACTCTTTTCCGCAGAATGGTCGAGAGCTTTGAAAATCGGGCATGAGCTTCCGCTACCGTGTACATGCATCTCCGGGAGACTAGAGCAGGCCAATCCACAAGCTACGACGGAGCCTCACCAGCGAATCTGTGGCGAGGACTGCCACAGTATCGACGCTACATCGAGCGAGTGGTATCTGACAAGCTCTTGCTAGGGGCGGGTCGCATCACCGTCTGGCGGAGTGGACAAGATGAGGGACGCTCGGGAAAAGAGATACATACCCCTGAGGTGCTCTCCTCCCATCACCGCATACTTTCGCTTCTAGGTGCCTCGGCACTATTATTAGGCTATACCGCCGCTTGGACTGAATGAAGACACTTTCAGTCTTGCACCCACGGTTCCACCCACCCAACTCAGATTTGTTAGGAAAAACATTCATTGGCGTCCGCGTCCTGAATTCTACGTTGCACCTCTGCTACTAAAATTCTCGGATTTTTCTCGTCTCGGTCTCCAATCTCCCGAGCGTTCGGGAGGTCATTGATATTTGAGTTGCTTACCATACCTTACGACATTCTATCTCGGCTTGTCGCTCCGAACCATTGCGAGACGAGAACTCAGCCTTGGCACGAACTCAACGGTCGTGCGACCACAAGACAACGGAGAAAGGAGCTCGGCCGCGAGTCACGCACCCTGCAACAAGCTATGCTAGGTTGAACAATGACAAAAAAAAGCATGAGAACAATTTTCGGGCCCCCTCATCCACACGCGCGCTGGCATTCGTGTCAAACCTCGGATGAAAGCGGATGGGGAGACTTTACATCTTCTTAGGGTTCGGTCCGGCTCGGCTCGCCACCGATGCCAAGCACTTCGCGTTCCTCGTCGGCGAAACTCGTGACGTTTCGGAACCAGAAGTTGACGGCCACGTTGCCCTCTTCAGCGTCTGGGTACGATCGGACCTGACAAAAAAAGCAACAACGAGACCAAGGTGGTATGATACGACATGAAGCAAAACTCAACCCCCAGCAGATCGACCGCGCCGCCAGCTACCCGTAGGGATTAATCTTCCAAGCTTAGCAACTCGGCTGGGGAGGGATTGGATGCACCCCCCACGATGGCTACGGTAGGAGCAAATGAGGGGCGGACAGGTCGACGTCATGGGGTAGTAACATGTAAAAAAACACATCAAGAGTTTAAATCAGAGCTACACGGGGATGGAGACAGGCGGAATCCCTCCAATCAAAGGTGGGGATGCGGCTGGGCGAACGCCGCGAAAAGTGACCGACGAACGCCGCGAAAGAAACGGCAGAATTGGCAGCCAAACAGCACCTACACAAAAAGCATCCCGGGAAGCAACGCACGGCAAACGGCGTGATAACATTCCCCATGATGATCGTGAAAGCCACTGTACCATCAGAGTCCTCCAGCGTATGAAGCGGACAACTGCAGCGATTGTATCAAAACCGCACCCAACGCAACGACCATCGACGCAGTATTGTTGCTGCCGTGTACAATACAGCATACAGCGTGTTAGCAGAAGCACTCACCTCGTGGTGCCAGAAGGCCGGCATGTAGAGGACATCTCCCTCCTGCAAGACCACACGGTATGGCCGACAACGCCTCAACCTAGGCGGCGGAAGGCGGAACGGGGGCGGCACGAAGACGGCGGCAAAAAGTAAAAGTTGGCGTTGGTCTCAAGCGGTCCAACTGCTACAGACGGAAGCACAATCGAAAACACATCTTAAGTGCCTACTTCTATCGGCCAGTGGATCCCCTTCCCCGGGGATCCAAGCTGGAGAGTTGTCCGAGATTCAGGTTTTCATCAACAACGACCCCGAGACCATAGCACGGCCGTACCCACCCCGAAGCGCACGGCTGTACCCACCCCGAAGCGCACCTATCTAATCCATGCAACACCACGAGCTCTTATCATCTCGTGGGTGGTGGCCTCAATTCGAAGAGGACCTCGATACCGACAAGCCTGTTTCGAGGAGCGTCATAAAAGTAGCAAAAGCGGGTATCTGTCGAACATACAGCATGCACTTTGCAACACAGCTACGTAGCCCCGGCCCAAACGGCGCACCTTGGGTGGCGTTCGAAGTCGGGGTCGTCAAGCCGAACGGAAGAGCTGAAGATCACCTTGTTCGGCCCATCCAGCTCGTCTCTGAACAAAGAAAATGCGCGCGTTCGACTCAGTGGGGCCGAGCACAGAACACGTTGCGGTGATTGAAAGGGAGGGGGGAGCAGCAGCCGGGCACGACACGGCCCGTATACGTACCATCAGCCAGTCCCTGGAACAAACATATCCCCCGATGTATGACTCTTGTCTTTAAAGGAGAAGGAACAGACAGAAGTGAAGAACACCGTCACATTGGCCTACTCTCAATTTTTCGAGCCCTATCTTCTAGTTACCAATCTGCCTGCCCTGATTTGTTGTGGGTTGGGTCCCAAGCCAAACCATGAGCAGACAGGGGGGGATGTCCCCCGGCCGCGTCGCTTGAACCGTTGTGCAGCTGTCCCATTCCGCAGCACCGCACAAACTCACGTACACTAAAAAATTATTTCACATCCTTTCTACCTCCTCAACAGTGCCGCGCAGGCGGTGGGAGCCCGAGACGGTTCTGTTCCGTTCCGTGTCCAAGAGACGCGGAATATTCCACGGTGTGAGGGCAACGGCAATGTTTGGTTACCACGACGACGACTACCCCTCTCCCAAATACGTGCAATTCGTGTCATGGGACAACGCGCACAACAATACATTACCATGCTGTACCACCTTGTTCGTGGTACTTACGGGTACGAGATCCGAACTGGGAAGGTGTGTGCATGTGTGGGGGGCATGGCATACTGTTGGAGGGCCCTCGGAGAAGGTAGAGCACGCACATGTGTTCCGTAGGCCTGTGCATGTACTGGAAGGAGTTAATCACGCGAAATGTTTCTGTCATCACCGTTCGGTCCTGGGACAACCTAGTCCCCAAGCTTGATATCTCTTAAGCCTCACGCGCAGAGGTGCACCAACCCACCTTGTCCACTTGCCGGGGAAGTGGTACTTGAGCTTGCCCTTCCTCCTGCCGACGTAGTACAGGTTTTCCAGGTCCTTGGGGGGGAACAGCACCAGCTCCTTCGTGCCCCTAACCTGGCAGAGGAGGTTTTCGTAGTCATCGTAGTGGAGGACGGCCGTCGTTCCTCCTTTGAAGGATGAAGAGAACGGGGTGGGGGGGGGGGG